GTTGGCATGCCAAAGCACCTCAAAGGCTCATGGGGGATTATATTTCATTGTCAATTGCTCCCGTTATCATGCAATGCACATTCAGGAGCTCTGCATCAGTGTGAGCTTTAACTGATGTGCCAGTCAGTCAGCCCCATTAAACCCAAAGCAGTCCCTAGGCAGCTCTTTTGTCTTCACTATTTGTTCCCCCCAGCAGCACTAAACAGCAGCTCCCACAACATTCACTCCAGCTAAACAACCTCCGCCTCCCCAGAGAGGTATGACTTCTCCTATCCCACCTCCACTGTTGACTTCAATGAAATATGCAGCTGTCTTTTAATCAAAACAAGGCCAATTTGCATACTGACAGGAAGGGGGCGGTGGACCCTCCTTTCCCCCGCCCGGACCGCACGATAGATGGCTGCGATCCATGCAGACGAGAGCCCTGATCTCTTAGCAGCAGGAAGGAGATGGAGAGGAGGTAGAAGGAGGAGAAACAGGGGAAGCGGGAGGTGTGGATGTGGGCAAGGGGAGGAGATGGTGGAGTGGGAGGGGCGGGAACATCGCTACAAACAAGCAAAATCCAAATCGAGTAAACTAACAGATGGATGTGGTTACATTAGCATACATCAACAACAAACAGGGGCACCTTACTTCGTGTAGGGGAGAGCGAGTGGGCAGGGCTCAAGGGTAAATCGGGCAGAGGATCAGAGAATCAAGTGGTCTACGTTTGTTTGAGTTTACACATGTGCAAATAAGTACGAGCTTTAACAGGCACTGATTATACAAACGTGAAACAGGATGACAAAAAAAATACAACCGCCAGCATGCACAGCTTAAATAAATGCAAAGCCATTAACGAAGGGCAATTAATTACCAACAATTACCTTGCGTCGATTACTGTGAAGGCGATGTGCGGCGAGGAAAGGGGCGGTGTGTGAGCTGGGCAATGTGCAGCGATCTTTTGTTTTCGCAGCTAAGGACTGACTGAGGAACATGCAGATTTAACACAGTTCTGTGCTGTTCTGTGCGAGTCCAAGATGCTCTAAGGAGACAGAGACTGTGTGTGTGTGTGTGTGTCCGTGTGAGTGTGAGTGTGAGTGTGTTTGCGACTGAAAGAAGTAAGACAACTGGCCACTGGGTGCCACACCAGCACAGACAGGCGTTGGCTCGCTACACGAGAGGCTTACCAGGCAGATGGTGAACTGGCAGACTGGAAGTGTATCTGGTTGGCTTGCTGGCTGTCTGGATGGCCTGGTGGCTCATTGGCTGTCTGGGTGGAAGAACTCTGCCTGGTAACGATGACGGAGCTGGTAAAGGAACAAGGAAAGCTGTGATTTTTAACAAAGGTGGTGTTTTTGTCTTCTTTCTTTAAATAAGACACAATCTTTCCTTTGTCAATGAGGTGTACATGTAAGCACAAATGCATAGTATTAATGGTATAGTAGTGAGATTGATATAAAAAACAATTACCAGTGGTTATAAGACACTGTTAGATTACAATGCTGGAGAAGGCAGGGTGGAAGTGCTGGCATTATTCCGATAATGAAACTCTTAATTCCTGCCAAAAGACATTGGTAATGTGCAGCCGTGTAGCAATATGTTGGTGGGTGAAGTGCAGTGATATATTAGGCAATATGAGCCAGCTGAGACACATAATGTACCTGCTGGTAGTTTTGGCATTCATTTCTACTATTCAAAAGCAGCATTGTGGTAGAGGGAGGAGGAAAGGCCAACCTTTTCTTTCTGAGAATGAATCACAACAGGTTTTTTCTTTTTTTTCCAAAAACCACTGGGAGAGCTTAAAACTCTGATTTATCATCGAGTACTATTGGAAAAAGAAAACACACTCATACCTTGCAAATCTCAAACGGTCCCATCATTTCTGTCAATTCAACGGACACACAAGCCACCTTTAGACGAGTCCCTCACTGCCCGCAAAGCGATGAAACAGTTTTCTTCGTGTTTTATGTTTCAACAGGGCGTCAAATCTACCTTGCTTGAGCTGTTACAATTTAAAAATCCTGCCATGTGGCTGGGTGTTGTTGAATGGCTAATTAATTAAGACCTCCCATTGTTTCACAGTGTGCTACCACATGTTGCATGTCTTCTAAGGCTGGCAAATACGGCAAAACATGTTCAAAGCTCCCCGGGGGGAAGTTTCTTCTCCTCTTGAGGCTTCTGTCCACATATTTTTTAATGAAGGCTTTGATAAGTGCAGCTGGTACTGATAAGTCCAAACTTCACTGTTTTTAAAGCGCTGACAAGGCCAATGCAAGCTGTCAGAGTAAGCCACCACATTAATTATAGATCTTCAGGTGATTCTGAGCTACCACACAAAGCAGCCTGTGATAAGTCACAGTTCCCAGGATGGATGGATAGACGGATGGATGGATAGATGGATGGCTCACTGGCTAAAACCCTCGAGGTGTTTTGTAATTTAACAAACCTCGGTTATTATTTGATAACACTCCTGAAAATTAAGATATTTTAAAAAGTAAGCTTTTACTCACACAGAGCCCATTTTGGACATTAAATAGAAAGTCTTGAACAGAAAAGACAGCAGCTGTTCTGTCCTTTGGATTGGCATTTCTTTCAGTCATCACTTCAACCACATCCCACTGAGGAGACGCTCAAAAATAACTCCTTGGATATCATGTAAATGTCAGTATCTTATTTAAATGAGAGGAGATTTTTTTTTTTTTAATATGTTGTGTCGATTATTAATCAGCCAATTGCTGAGTTATCCTAGGAGCTGGACATAATGAACCTAGCTAATTATAACAAAATAAAATAGTAAAATAAAAAAAAACTGACATTAGAGAGCTACATTAGGGAGCCTCTCAGCAATGACGTGTCCAAAAACTCAGAAAACTGTAGTGCAATGTCTCTGTGCATTTTTTGCAACACACCTTTTTTGCCAATTAAAGACGGTCGTGCAGGAATTGACAAAAATAGCCTACGAAATTACATTTATTTCTAGTCAATTGTTTGTCTAATGTCATTGTAGCGAGGCTATTTTACTTCACAGGGGTGCTAAATGACAAGAAAAGCAAATATGAAAGGAGAATGAAATGACTGACTTACAAGAAGGGACTGCCCTCAGTGTATCCGACACTCACTGTCAGTAAACACACACCGGTGTTACGGTTTAACGAGAGACCGTGTGAAACTGAGCACTCCTGACGTCATAGTAACAACAAGTTTCCCCAGAGCTCTGAAGTGAGCTCGCCGCTTATGCTTCTTTTGTTTTGTTTATGAACATACTAGTTAGATGTGGCCAGAGGCAAGAGGCATGTGTTTGTCACTCCACCTGTGCGTCATTTCCCAATAAAAGCTGGATAAAAAACCGCTAAAGGATGCTGTTACTATGAGAGGAACTTTTCAAAATAACAGCAGACTATGGTACTTGAAACCGCATGAGTTTCCTCTTTAGTGCCTGTCAAATTTTTCATAGGCTAGGCCTGTATCAAACATGATCTCGTGTCTTGATCAAATGTTTTCCATTTGTGTCCATCTGAGTAGGCTGCTTCTCTATGCATATTTTGGAAATCATATTTCCCTGCGGTTCCTTCAGTTTTTCAAACAAACATGCCATCTCCATTAGAAGCTCTGAAATCTACTTTTGGCTTAGACCAATTCTCTCTGTGCTATAAGGTAGGCTAATTCATCTGGTTTCTTAACAAATATGTCCTGGTGGCATAGCACACACTGCAAAATGCAATGGAGTTCGCACACACAGTAATTTCCATTTGAATAAATTGGAATATGTTACTGAAGGAGATTAAACCTTACCCAAAATGACAATTCCTATGAACCAAGAGTAGAAGTAGCCTACCTGTGCCAGCTACCTGCTGTTGTCATCATTACTCACCTTCATGATTCAGGATGGCTGCCTGACAAGCTGTTTCGATAGAAGTGTCAAGCAGGTGAATGCTCAATAGATACTGATTTTAACTGAACCTCCATTGTCTCTCACTTTTACATTTGTCATTTGTCACCCTGGGATGCCATCCTCAGCTCAAAAGGAGCCTCAAATCAATGAGTGCGCCGACATAGAGACGGCAGGAAAAGCCACAGCAAGAGTTCCCAAGTGTGAAAGGGTGACAATGACCTCCGAGGAACAACACTGCCAACACATTACTAACAGCGGGGAAGTTGAGAAAGAGTGTGACAGGAGGTGTAAATGAGATGCTCTGTTAAAGCAGTACAGTGTGAGCATGTTGTGATGCCACTGCAGAGCTGAAATATCACATTTTCTCTAAGCTGGGTTGGTACTGTAAATGTGTTGTGGTGCATCTTTTTTATCTATACGGATGCAAATTATAACGAACTAAGCTCAAAAATAATGATGTGCCTCATAACAAAGAATTACAACCTCTCACACACAGCTGAGCGTAATGTTGACAGAGTAATATAAATGCAATGCAATTTGCTGGCGCCTTAAGCAACCAGAATATTTTCATCCAGCCTTTTCTCAATCAAGTAAAAAATAATTGAGTGTATTTCATGGTTTGGTGTGTAACTGGCTTTGTAATATTACACACAGCAGAAAAGACAATTTGCTTTTCTTTTGGATACAACTTTCAAGTTTTTCCTCAGCCAGTTATTGAGGAATTGATATTGCAATTTGGTTGTATGTAAGTAAAGAAGCAAAGTGCAAAGGCCCGTGATATTAGAATGACAGCGAGCTCTAAGATGTGTCATCTTCTGAGCTGTTCAAAATTGACTGGAGTACTTGCAATGTGTTTATGATGGCTTACTCCTTAATAAGAGGCGTGATACCTCTGTGAACATTATCATCTGTGTAGGTTCTCATTATTAGTTTAAATGTTCAATTAATTAAATACTGGCTCCATCAGACAGATCCAAAATTAAAAACTAACAATGATCCTACCAATTACATATTGACATGTCATCGGTTTTAACCTTGAGAATGATAGACACAGAGAAGCATCCGCTCATAGTTTGCTCTTTCGTGTAAATTAAATGTCTACATTTTGAGAATCAAGACAATTCACTTTAAACAATAAAAATATCAATCTTTATTCTTGAAGATGGCATATCAAAGATAGAACCTTAGTCTATAATACCATAACAGATTACACAAGAACTATACAACAGTGAACAAAGAGTAACACACATTTCTTGTTTCCCATCTTTCTCTTGATAAAGACAGCTGAACGCTCGTTTTATTGGAAGTTTTATCTCTACTGTAAATGTGTATGTTACATCGTTTGGACTTCAGGGGGCAGCATTACGCTATTTTGTTCGAAAACAATGAGAATATTTTGAATTTGGAATAAGCCTTTACAAAATATTTTCGAAGACTTCCATGAATTCACATTTTTTTGAAGAGCAAACTGCTGCATCGTGTTGGTTATTTTAAGTTTTTGGGTATGATCGTCGTCCTCTCTCTGCAGTCAAACATCCTCCGCGAACAAAATGTTTTAAGTTTGCAACGAATAGGGAGAATTTCTAACCATTATCTATTGGCAGGATTGGTTGAAACTACCATTTATCAATTTAAAAAAAATGCAGACCACCCTCACACTATAGCAGGCAAACACCTGGTGCTAGTTATAGTGCAGCCTATGGCAAACAGAAACAAATATACTGTATTAATGCTGGTAACAGAAAGTCAAACACTGCCTAAAGCTAAAGATCATCACTGTTAGCGACCTGTGACAAACCTCTGGAATGAAAGCTGAATTAAACGGATTACACTTAAACACATAAATACCTGTTCATTAATCGACTCTATATACTGTATGTGCTTCTCTTTAGAACAGAAAAAAAAAAGAATTTTATTTGGTTTACAGTCAAAAAAAAAAAAAGGACAATAAGCTGCAACAGTTGCACAGATTCCTCCCCAACCCTCATCTTATACAATAATATTAAAACATGAACAACAGCATTTAAAATACAATAATAAATGAGCAATGTAAAATGCAAGGTATGACTGTATTACACAACGTTGGCATTCGATCGGAAGAGGCGGGATGTTTTGGCAACAAGGAGTTTTAAAAACATTGTAACACAATGGAAAAATGACAAGAGGACTCATTTCTCTAAAAGCTGCTCCACATTGCTACTGCTTTCTCTTTTCTTGTATTATTTTGCAGTGCGGATGTGTCTACAATACCTTTACCTCCCCTGGTATATTTGAACTAATAATCCCTATTTACCCTAGAATATCTATACAAAACTATACACCACAACACAAAGCAGACCAGGCCAGTGGCACTAACAGTTAGTCCTAGTTTAGAGCTAATCTAGTATGATCTGATATGCTGTACTTCATGTCTCCTCATCTGGGCAGCCCTGCATGCTCCAAACTGTCCGTCATCCCAAGACCCTCAAAGGTATTCTCTCCACAAAAATGCTTCTTTTTCAATTTTTTCCATCATCCTAATAGATTCTGATCAAAACAAACATACATTTCTTCACTGATCCCCCCCTCTCCCCCCTCCTCACATCATACTAGCAGGGCTGCTGCACTCCCCTGCATACTGACAGCCAGTGAATGCTCTAAAAATAAAACCAGCGGCCGCAGCTCGGATATGAGACACGTATGCATTGACTTTGTTTATCTATGACCTGACATCTTTCCTGGTTTATTGTAAACAATGCTGGATGAAGATTGCATTAAGCAGTCGGCAGATGGGGAAGAAAACCAGTTGATTTCTGTACAATATTTGGATCTGCAAGGAAGACTTGAATACCACAGAAAGAGCATGTTGAGATATGTTGTATTGTGTATTGTCTTGATCAATTAAAAGCTGTGTTTAGGTAGTTTGTTTTGTTTTGTTTCAAGAAAGTCCTTCTTGTTAACAAAAACAAAAAAGGGGCTTCAAAGCCTGACTGTTATGTACTTGACGTTTGTTTATGTATACAGATTGCATGTGTGAGTCAATGTTTTGTGCCTGGCTGTGTTCTGATGTCATTAATTGGCTCTACATCTCGTGGGTGAGGGCTTCATGCTGTGCAGCCACTCCGTTGGCCTGCACAATGCGGGGCTGCTGCTGCTGCTGCTCCTCGGGCTGACCATTGGCCTGAGGCTGAACAGCGGGGCGCTCGGATGGGTGCGAGCTGAAGTGGGCGTTGGATTCATTTAAGCGGCGGACACGATACGTCTCGTAGTGGATGCTGCCAGTGATGTCCTTGATGTTCTGCATGTGTGTCCTGAAAATCAAAAGACACTATTACAGCCAATGGAAGTATTGCACGGAGCATCACAGCTAATGAAAAGTCTGTGTTCCTGATTTATGTTGTATGTGTTAGCCCAGTGCTTCTTAAAGTTGTGCTTTGGAAGGAATAAAGGGTGCTTCTTGATTGGTTAACGTCACTTTATATTTTATGCCCAATGTACCAAGAGCTAATTTAAATCCACGCGTGATGTTGTGATTTATGCGTGTCCATGAAAGACAAACATTTTACCATTTAGCAAACTACATTTGTGTTTACTTCCATTTCAGTTCAGAATTACATGAATCAAATGATGTCAAATATTAATGTTGTTCTATATTTATCAATAATGGAGTGCGCCTGCGAGCTTGAGGAGGCAGGCAGCTTAAGGTGCTCTAGTTTTAAAATTGACATTTCTCCACAATCACCTGACAAACGCATCCTGTAACTGTCACTGTCTTCTTAAGCTATTGCATTCCCCGTCTCTCCCTTTGCTACGTGCTCTTACTTTCAACCTCGCCACCTCCCCAGCATGCACCTGTCGGCTCTGACTAGAGGGTTTAAGATATGAACTCATCACTCCTGAAATGTCTGCATGTTAAACAATCTGCGAGGAGAGAGACGCCAAATTCACTCCACTTTCTCTGCTGCTACTAACATGTCAAACAATTACAAACGTGAAGTAGCTTTTTGTTTACACTGGTTGTTTAACACTGTTTTTCAATTATCCATGGCCATTTTTAAACTAATATATATAAAGAGGGAAAGGGGATGCCACGACAATATCGACATCTCTATTTAACTTTCAAGTCATGAATCCTGTACGAGCAAAACAATGTAAGTGCTTCTATTCAGTGGAGAAGCTTTGCAGACACGCAGGTGGTAACAGTCTGGAGAAGCCCTGGACCTTTCTCAAACAATGTCATTAGTATTGATTTCAGTCTGTAAGTGAAGCTTCATAGTCTCAGTGCTGTTTGCAATTTATTTCAACACCTCCGCGGAATAAAGTGAGTGCTTTATAATGTAGCAGGGGGCTCGGCCCATGTTTGGTCTCTTCCTTCCAGTCCTGCATTAAAACGACTAAAATTAACTCTTGAGGATGATGAAAAACCCACCTGATGAGGAGGTCCCGCAGGTAAGCAAACTCACAGTGCGCAATGTTTTCAACTGTAAATGGGAGAGAGAGAGAGAGAGAAAACAGATGAGTTACATCCTAAAAAATAATCCTTACTGTTGAGTTTTAATGCAGCAGTTAAGATGAATTTGATGCTCAGAGACAGAGAGATTACGAAGAAATGAAATAGTTTGAATTAACGGGCTAACAAAGTAGGATCCTTTCACATCACCTCAGTTCACCTGCTATTCATTTAAATTACACAAGAGGGCAGTGTTGCTCATGAGCCAACCAGAGGGCATCCTCTAACATGACATCTCAAGCAATTTTCTTAAGCCGAGATAACGTACTCCTCCACTTTCCTGTGATTTAATACATCTCTGCTCTCCTCTTTATTGGAAAACCCTAAGTGAGACGTTTTAACAAACTCCCAGTGACTGGTGCCTCCAGTAGAGCTAACACTTGTTTAAATTATAGATTATGTCAAGAATATGAATGAAGAAAAAAAAAAAAGAAAAGAAAAGAGGGTGCTATTTATGTAAAGCTTTGAAATCCAGGGGCAGGAAATTAAATTCTCTTTGAAAGAAGGAGGGAGGAATAAGAGCTGGGTGCACTGATTAGTGATGAAGAGGGAGCACGCAACTTGGAACTAGCTGCACTGCTGCTATCTTAACTCGGGGCTGGAGGGGAAATATGGAGAAGTCTTTACATTCACATTTACATTTAATTAAATATCAACCAAGAAAACCCCCCCCAAAAAATCACTCGTTCTTCTCAGATTTGACTTTCTAGTTTCTCCTCAGTTAATTATTAATAAGGAAGTGTTCAGGATCAGTCAAGTCCAGCAGCTTCATCCCTCACAGTCCTTGCTCCCTTCTCTCCAAACATTTGCTTTCACAAAAAAAATGAGCCACTGTTCAGCCAGACGACACAGCAATTATACTCCTCCTCTCTCACCCCGCTCATCTGTACAGTTCATTTCATAATGCTCACTGAGAGGAGTCACCTTTCAACACTAAAAAGGGTTCATGTTGCTTCCTCAGGAATGTCATCTATTCAAGGTGTACAACTTCTCTGTTTCAGATGGAAAAAAAAAATGCATCTATGGAAATCTAGCAGGACCAATTAAATCATTTTCTATCAAACATTTTAATGGTTTTATTGTGATTCAAATATATATTAATATAATATTTAACACGGGGAAAAACATCCCAGAAATTACTGATTACTTAGTCGAATGGGAGTTTTAATGATTTCTAAGCAGTGATGAAAGAATTACTCAAAATTACAGCAAAAGTAAAAACTTGAACATTTTAAAATGCTCAAATTCCATTTAAAATTATGTAACTAAACAGTTTTACTCAGCAAAAGTGTTTAAATTATCATCAGAATGTACTCAAAAATAAAGCTAAGGTAGTTGCAGACACTATTAAACACTGTTGATTAATTATAGCTAATGAATTTGTAATTGTTTTCTTAACATTGGTTAAGAATGATCTGGTGTTAACAGATCTACGGTGAGACTGTTCCAGATGTTACAAATCCAGAGTGAAATATAAAGCAGCGTAACGGAGCAGCTGTCTCGATTTTACAGTCTGAATCATTTACAAGATATTAAAATGTTCATTTTTATTCTGTGATTTATATTTTTACATTGCATTTATAGCGCAGACGATAAACTAGAGCATGAGGTGCATGCTGGGAAGGAGACAGTGATTGTTTAACAGCGATTGTCTCTTTGTTGGGGGCTTCATGAGCAGCTTTATTGTCCTCCCATCATACTTTTACTCCTCCCTGGACAGACAGCCCTTTCATGCTCGTTCTCTAAATCTCACACACACACACACACACACACACACACACACACACACACACACACACACACACACACACACACACACACACACACACACACACACACACACACACACACACACACACACACACACACACACACACACACACACACACACACACACACACACACACACACACACACACACACACACACACACACACACACACACACACACACACACACACACATCCACGGCTGAGGTGAGGTAAGGTGAGGAAGTTTCCTTGCCAGTGTAAGGATGAAGCACAGGCCAACAAATGTAAACACTATCAGAGTTACTGCGGCTGAGCGTGTGTGTGTGTGTGTGTTTGTGTGTGTGTTTTATGTTCCTGTCTTTTATCCCAAAGGACACAGTGAGTCGTAAATCTTTTCCTCCTGTCTCGTACTTCTCCCTAGTTACAGACTCTGAGAGACAGACGTAAACAAACGAGACAACAGACGGTAAAACCAGCTGGACAGAATTTTAAAGCTGCAAGTTTGTAAGTTTTCAAAAACACAAAACTGAGAAAGTGTCATCTTCTTCAGGAGGAGCTGTGTGATGTGGTATGAATGCCATAATCTGAGCAGGTAGCATGCATGTTGTGAGGGCAGTGAATGAGCTGTTTTTAGTGTTTGACCTTTTTCCACTGTGTAGATGTACATAATATTAGATGAATAGCCATTCTTAAATATATCCTAGCAATAATGTTTTAAATAAAACTTCATGGATTACATCTGCAACTGATGCTGGCAGTGGTATCTTAGCGTGAATGTGGCGGTTGTGTTAATTGGACCATCAGAAAGCATACATTATTCTGCCAGATGAGTCATTTTATACTGTCTGTCTGGCAGGGAAGTAACCAGCAGTGTGGTTTTTATGCATGTGTGTATACGTGTGTGTGTGTGTGTGGGGATATGTGCATATTTGTTTGAGGATTCACATGGATTACCCTCTATGGTGCCCCATTTCGTTTTCCTTCCCAGGATCTTCTTCCCGTTCACCTGGTACTCCTGGTCACTGCCCACAACAGCAAACGGGATCATCTCCTGTTGAGAGCACACATGCAAGTCAATTGAAACCTTTAAATGAACACCTTGCATGCTATCATCAAGTGACGAAGCCAAAAGGACCAATACACAATGCCGTGTCAAAAGACATTTGAAATCGACTGAACCCGGTAAAATGAACGTACCCTGATTTTGTCATTGATTATCCTGTCCTCTGCATCCTCGTCAAACTCTTTCTGAGGATAAACATCGATCCCGTTGGCTCGCAGCTCTTCCCTTATCTGTAGAGCCAAGAACAATGACACACACAAACGTTACATCAGAACGGCTAAATATACATTATAAGAAATGTGTTATTGGTCAATCAAGGTAATGTATTAAGTTGAGTGAGTTAGGTAATGCCAGTTTGTGCCTCTCTTTAACTCAAGTTTGGAGAGACTTTTCCTCATACTTTTTAAATTACAAACATTATTACACAAAGACAAAAGTTTCCATGATGAGGGCAGTAAGGACACAGAAATAAGGAAGTTACATTTTCTCCATCATGGATCACATATCCCCCTCTGTTTTGTTTTTTTTACCAGTTGATCAAAGGAAACTGGATTGGATCGTCTAGATGTAGACCCAGACTTTAAGTGATAACAATCTGGCTCACCAGTAGTTTGGACGAAGACGTCACACTACATACTTTGTCCAGAGGGGGCGCCAAAGTCCACACAGACTGACAGTTGCACAGTTGATGACAGACAAATTAAATATTTAATGATCCTGTTTTATAGATTCTATTGTGTTGGATTACTGTTGAACAACCCAACAGGGACCCGATGTTTGGCTGAATCCAGTTCACACTTGGCGTACTCGAGGACTTAAATAAACACTTGGTTAAGGCATATAAGCTGGTGTTAACACCACTGTAAATGGTTCCTAATAGCCTAGACACAGTAAAGTTCATCTGGACTCTAAGCGCTCTTAAGAAAAATAAAACTATCCAGGTCAAGCTGTGTACAATTAATTGCCCATTCTTTCCCTGGAATGTCTTTATAATGACTGAAACTCACACAGGTGCAGAAAAATAGACGAACAAGCTTCTAGGAAAAATGTCCGTTTAATGATGACTGCTCACTCCCACAATTACTACTCTGACAGTTTCCACTTGGTCCTTGATCCTTGGAAGCTTTCTGATCCTTACATTATAGGATGCAAAAAAGAGTGAAATTGTTCAAAAAGCCACATCAACTGTTGGTTAGAAGAACACTCTCACAGCTGGACACACAGAGGCTGTACGTTCAAAAAGGAAGAAAACCTTCTTATTCTGTTTGCATGACAAGTTGCTGCAGGGAAAATGAAAACATTTGGCACGAGAGGCTTTTAGTCAATAATCTTCAGGGTCATACAGAGCATGTGCAGCCAACCAAAACAATTCAGCTACAAGCCCTGCGGCTTCAACTCTCTGCCAGGGTCTGGCCCAGTCCCTGCTTTGTTCTTATTGGACTGTGTTACAGGCATCAGGGGGACAACAGTAGCCAAGACACCCAGCATGCTCCCCTGAAATGAATAAAGCTGTTAGGGAAATCCTGGAAGGAAGGATGGAGAGATAAAGGAAATGAGGCAGGTGGCTGCAGTTGGCCTCCTGTGGATTTAGAATAAATACATAGAGACAATTCAAGACTCAAGCCAGGTGTAGCAGAAGTCTTTTTGAATTAGGATTTGCTATAAAGCAGACTAGGGTAACAATCACAACACACAAAAATACCCCCGAGGTGAAAACAAGAGGCTAGCCTACCGCTGAGATCAAATCTGCTTTTTCAAAGAAATAGTACTTGTTTACTTTGAATACATCAGTTGACTGTGGATATGAAGTTCTAGTTATACCTGTGTGAGCGTCTTCAATTTTAAGTTGTATAGTTAAGCCATATTGATTATCTGGTGGTTCTCCTGAGATCTCCACTCATTTACCTCGTTATCTTGAGATAACAAAGTCCTATTTTTATCTGGGGCAACAAACGTTAACGTTATGGTGAGACTATTGAGGAAAAGAAACAGAATTCACTAGTTATCAAGGTAAAGAAAGTGTATGGATGCATATCTGCTTAAGGTTTCCATATAGAGGAAAAGCCAGGGGGAGGGTCTAAATATTCATTCAGTGAGATATGAATGTGGTTACACCCGATAGTTCTTAAGATAACTAGCTGAGCTTACTTCCGCTTGTTTGAGTCACTCAGAGGCTCAAACTTTTTTCATACTTGTTTTTTTTTTACATGGACCCCTCCCTGTCCACTGTTTTCCCTTAAATAAATTGGCCACACACAAACTTAAAATTGTAGAGATTTGACCATCAAAAACAAATAGAAATCCATTTTCCTTCACTGCTCAATATGATGCTGCTTTCGAGCTCTTTTAAAGTCCTTGTAGGATCAACCAGTTTTTCACTGGTAATGAAGGGCCTGCATGTTCTGCTGGCAACTGGGTAGAGAAAACAAGACTTAAGATTTTTGGAGCAAAGCTCTGTAAATAAACTCTTCAAATAAATAGATCTTAAACGTTTCCGTCTGGGCCGAGCATGACTTTTGGAGTTCTGCAGCTAAAAAGATGATACAGTATTTCCTGCGTTGCTAGCATGTGGGTTTGTCCAGATGGCTCCTGTTTGTGGGACCTGGCAGCTCGTCGTGTGTTACTGACCTGTGGTTGTGGATACACATACATGTGCTTTTTTAGGGGAATCCACCAACTGTTTGACCCACTGTATTTTAAGCTTAAAGACCTCCTGCGGACTCTTTGCAGGTGTGATGGGAGAAACATGTAAGCCTTTATTAATGTTGCATGCAACAAACGCAACACACACTCACCCAAAATGTTCTGACATGTATATTTAGAAGCAACTCTGCCCTCCAAACACCAACAGAATTGATAAATACGCTAACACACTGGTCTCACCGTCTGTTTAAAGAAGTCCCTCTCCTCCAGGGTGAGTGTGTCTGCCTTGGCGATGACAGGGACGATGTTGACCACCTTACTGAGACGCCTCATGAACTCCACATCCAGAGGCCTAAGACTGTAAGACAAGGAAAAGATAGCGACTTAAATAAAATGGAAGAGGATAGGTAAATGTTGTTTCAAAATGTTTGTGAAGCTGAAGCAGCCAGAAAATTGCAAAGAAAATAAAAAAATGGACACAGATTCTTTCATCTGTTATTAGGCAGATGCTTTTGTCCAATGTGATGTAAACCTGAAAATAAGTTCAACACAAGCAAGGACCACAGATGAGAAGAGTCTAGCTGTTGGCTTAGGGCCATGGAGTGAAGACAGAACCAGGGGAGAGTAGACCTGGATAAAACAGTTCAGGTAAGGAGGAGCCATTTCTTCAGTGTTTACCAAGTGGGTACCAGGGTTTTGAATTTGATGAAAAAGCGATGCAACTGGGAGCCAGTGGAGAGAGACGAACAGGTGAGAAAAGCTACAACTACAGTAAATGACAGACTGTGAATTGGATAGAAATGTAATGAAATAGAGTAACCACTAGAGGGCATTCATAGTCTTTGTCAACTTGCAGTCCTATACTTGGTTTTTAACGTCTTACTTTCATTGAAATCATTTTCCTGTTACCCTGTCTTAGGTATGATTTCAGTCAACTGGAGGAGAGCTTTCTCAACAATTTTAAGGGTAAATGAATTAAAGTAGTACATTTAAAGTCAGGCCACTAAGAGTGCAAAGCTGGGTGAATCTCCTCTGCAACAACCGTATGGTGATAAGAATATAGTACTTAATGACAAAATTACTGAGTTGATCTACATAAGGTTTTTTTGGGTGGGCCGGTCTGGACTCGAGGAGCAGATTGCAAGGTTAACACAGCTCTTTGTTTTCCATCTTTAATTCATTTAAGCACTGATAAGCACTGTACTACACCACTTAACACAGCTCTGCACTGCTTTCAGATTTCTCTCTTTTTCTGTCTCAACACTCCCTCCAGTTGCTCCTGCAGACAGACTCTCCTCACGCTGTCTGCTCTGCCCTCCAATTAGCCCCAGCCAAGCCCGGCCAGCCGGGTTCAAAGACCAGGGGGCAGCTGGAGGAGAGGCCCGGCTGCCAATAACTGCCAAACATGTCACCATGACCACAGGCTGTAACACTGGGGAGCATGTGTTAGACAGAAGAGCAAGAGAGAGGGAGGGATAAACAGAGCTGCACAAAAGGTAAAGAGACAGTAAGCAGTGAATTCAACCCTGAAACATGGAGCGCTATTTTTTCATACTCAGGGAATACCTGGCATGTGTTGTATGCATGCAAAACCAAGCAAATGAAAGAGGCTAAAGGTTGATGATCTCTATTGCTGTTCATTTATATTGAATATGAAATATGTAACAGTAATATATAAACAGTCTGTGAGCACATGCAGGAACAGACAAACAGAACTGTGACCTGTGTCATATGCATGACCGAGCAAACACGCACACTTTCATGTGTACACATGTATCTTTGCACATGAACATATGCTGTACAGCCGATAAATATGCATGTATGCATGCTTGCACAGATGTCCATTGAAGGTTTAAACAGATTTAGAACAATAAGCTCTGTGGTCAAATTAGAGATATAGAGAACAGTAAAACCATAGTTTATATAGTGTTCTCTCACTTCCTTATTTTTCTATTATACATCAGAAACCAGCACTCTGCTGATGAGAGTCAAAGTGCAGCAGTCTTCCTCTCAGAAAGACATGTTAAATGAGGTAACAACAAGTACACCCTGGGGGGAAACTAGTGTGGCTGACTCCACCATTATCAGAAATAGCCGCCTGTTCTGCTTCACTGAGCATTGTCGTCTATCTGAAACCACAGAAGAAACTTAAAAGGAAATTACAAACAGGCAAATCACATTCAAGCCTTGATAAATACAAACAGCTGTTAGAATTAATCCAGACAGAAGACAATAGGAAAACAAATACTGTTCCAATGATAAAGGTCTTTATAAGAGAGCTACAAGGGAAGTTCTGTCAAAGTGTTCCAGTCAGTCGTTCTCGGATTGTTGTCATCTGGTAAAACGGTCTTTTGTCAATGTTTCTGGGTGTAATTGGTAACAGGCCTTAAAGCAACTATGAGAAGGTTTTATCTGGTTGTGAGACAGACTGAAATGAATGCTGATGTCTCTTTTATATTCTATGAAAGCAAAAGAGACCATCAGCCACAAGATTGATTATTTCTATATAGTCACTATTACTGCCTGAAACTGCTGCCAGGGGTAGGTGTAAGAAGAAGCCAATTAAAAAACAAAATCCATAGCAAAGATGAGTGATATATTTGACTGATTAAACGGTGCAGGATGAGATAAAAAAATAAATAAAATAAAATAAAAATCACCACATACACATAAGCAGGAAAAAAAAAAAATCAGCAAAGCGATAAGAGGTACCATTTTGTCCACAGGGGGTGCTATAATCGATACAAATCAAAAGTCCAGGACAGGAGCTTAAATGTAAATCTTCAATAGGCATGACTGTATGAAACAAAAAAAGCAAGTAAAAAAACAAAACAACAAAAGCAAAGAGGATATTACTGCAATTGTGTACTGTATCTTTTATTCTCGAAAATGTGTTTCAAACTAAATTTATCTCTACATCAGGTTAAAAAAATTATCTCCAACAGATGTCCCCTTTGTTCTCCTTCCTGCAACTCCACTGTTGGCTGCAAGGAAGAAGACACTTCCTGCGCAGATGTTTGAATCTCTGTTTTCAAAATGAGTGTTTATTTTAAACTGTGCTTGTCTTGGATGTTACTGTGGGTGTGGGTGAGTGGTGACACTCTGAATAAAGCCCCGTGGGGACAACAACGGCAATAAAGCGTATAAGCGCTTAAAGAGGGAAGAGGGAAAAGAACCATTCGGGTAATGCCTGAGCAGCTGTAACCCAGATGATACACAAACACATTCAGCACATCCACACAAGAGTATTTAAACAAGTGCTGGCAGGCCCACTGTCCACTGAAGTCCACTGCACTCACTGTTTTACACAAAGAGACACACACATTCTCTGAAGCAGCAGCTGTGGCGACAAGAGCCGATGATGAGGGGGTCTGTCAAACAGCGGGACACACAGACACACACACATGTCATCTCCCACTTACAAAGAGAGCCTTTAAGAGGACAACTGTTGAGTTAGTGGTGTAGCAGAAATATGATGCAGCAGTGGATGGAGCCATTATGTAGTCATACCACAGACTACTGGTGAATCCGTTTGTTTATGCTTGGTGCCCACAAATGTTTTGGGTGATTTCGTCTGCATGTGCATAATACAATACTCCTATATCCACATTCCACCGTCAATAACACACATTTTCAGTTTGTGCGTTGTGCCTTTATGTGTCTGTACTTCAAGTCGAGGTGCACTTGAGGACACGCCACTTGACACTTGCGACGCAGCCGCAGAATGCGCTCTGGATTACCTCGGCATTAGAGAAATGTGTCGACCCAAAGGCCATGGGAGGGAAGCAAACAGAAGCCACCTAAGTTGTTTAAAGACAGACCCTTGCCCAGCCAAGACATGACTGAATTTATTTCTGCAAAGCCTTTCTTTGAGGATTTTCCTTGCCAAATGACAGCGTCTATATCCTCCAGATGTGGAACAGATTGCATATGCTCCCTTAACCCTCGTATTAGAGCTTTGCATATATCATCATCAATGACTCACTTTTAGCATCAGATAGGAGGAGGGCCTAATACTGATACTTTTAGACTTAAGTGCAGCTTTTGACCAGCGATCAGAATCATTCAAACACCTTTTAAAAGTCTTACGGACTGTTTTATGTGCTGTCGTCTTTTTATTGCCATCTTTGTAACTTTTTACCTTTGACTCATGTTTTAATCTTTTTGTCATGTTTATTGCTTCATCAATTTTATTCACATCAATTATTTCATTTAACTCTTGAATTTTTTTTTAAATTGTGTTCATCGTTTCTGTTATTTTTAATCAGCCTTTCTATGTTATTATTATGATTATTATTTTGCAACAACCCCTCTTAGCTCCTCATACTCCAGATAAGGCATCAGCAACTGTTTCCCCCTCTCTTAACCTCCCTCTGATTAGGAGAACCGTAGAGTCCAATTCAGTTGTGAAATCGGACTCTCCAAATGATACCTCAGCTTCTCTGAGCTGAGAATGACTTCCACATGTGGTGAGTAGACAGGGAGACGAAAAAGAGAAGCAGAAGAAAGACGTGGTTAAAGAGCTGAGGATTGACAAAGGGTCAGGGGTGACGGGGATTCCCAGAAGGCCTGATTGCAGTGTGAAGCTGTGGGAGAAACTGGTGAATTAAGGACAAAAAAAAAAAAGGGGGGCACGTAGTCTCAAGGGTTAGTGTGTGGATGTAATGTGTGAACTGACCAGTGGCCCGTGGCGGGGATGAAGTAAATGCAGCAGTGAACCCGCGAGTCTGGGATCCTCTTCTTTCTGTTGATGTTGATTTCCTCCTGCAGGTACGTCTCATACTGGTCGTTGATGAACTTCATGATGGGCTGCCAGCTGACAGAGGAAACAGAATTGAAGTGTGAGAAGCTGAAGCCTTATGAGCACACAGTCACATGTTAAACCTACTGTAATTCAACACCATGCTTCTATGACCATAAATAGGTATCTTCGGAGACATTATCGCATTCAGTTTTCCTCCCAATTCCATAAAAGACGTTTCCAAGCGGGACCCAATTGTTGATAAACTTTTTAAATCACTTTCTTTCTAAACATATTCTTGACATGAAAACTACATTCCAGTTGAGCAACTCCCACTCGACCAAATAAATTTTTTTTTTACATTTCTTCAGAACTCAGACGCTTGATAAATGTGTACACTGGAATTAAATCCATGTTTTTAATGTATTTAAAGCCTCAAAGAAAGAAGCACATGTTGCCCATTTCAAACGTTTACTTAGAAAAAATGAAATGTATTATATATTTTTTATTGAACATTAAACTTATCACTCAGGCTTTTTAATCACTGAACATGAGCTCACCAGTTTTCGTTGTTAATCTGATCCCCGAAGCCCGGAGTGTCAATCACTGTCAGCTTCATCCTCACTCCTTTCTCCTCAATATCTGGGCAAAGAAAAGTACTTCTGTTAGTATTTCTTCTGTACACACACAAAAAACAAGCACAGAAAACAAATAAGCAGCATGATTAAGCAGCAGGACTTACATGTTAAAAAATAACCATATTTATATTTCAGATTTAAATATGTTCAATGTCCCACCGTGACTGATGGACTTGATTTCAATGGTCTTGGGGATCCTCTCCTCCGGGTTGGGCTGCGCTGATTTACGGCTCACCTTGGATTTGAACAAGGTGTTCATCAGGGTGGACTTTCCCAAACCACTTTGCCCTGATCAAGAAAAAAAATTAAAACACAAACATGTTAGAGAGACAGAGAAGCAGGGAACACATTTCAACCCTGAATGGAAACAAGAACACACTCAGTGAAGACAAAAACCTTGTTCCACCAAAGCAAAAAAAAAAAAAAGAAAGAAAAAAAAAAAAAAGTCTGGTAAGTTTTATTTCTCCAAACACTGAACAAAGCTGAATGTGCTCATGACATCATCGTCAATGTATGTGTTGTGCAGAGAATGTGTGTGTAGTTTCGTGTGTGTTAACAGAACATGACGACAGCTGCAGGGTCAGACAGACATGCTGCAGAGGCCAAGAGGACAGATGTATTGTATAGACCACACACACAGCACGCACACACACACACACACACACACACACACACACACACACACACACACACACACACACACACACACACACACACACACACACACACACACACACACACACACACACACACACACACACACACACCATTTTCCCTAAACACACTAAACCCACTCCATGTAACTAAGTAAGAGCCATCAATACACTTATCATAGCAATAATCCCTTGAGTATTGTGCACGGCACATTATAGAAACAACTTCACAGTGTTGGAGAAAATAAGTAAAAAGAACATGTTGTCATATTTTTTTAGTTTGGGAAATCAAAATTGTGCATCAAAACCATGAATAAGAGTGTAAAATATGATGAGTTTAGTTTGTATTTAATGTATTAATTTATCTAGATTTCTTTTTATGCTATCTGCACCAGTGAGGACCGCCATCAAATGCTGTTGACAATTAGGTCTATCCATGCAACCATCCGTCTGTCAGGACAGAAATAAAAACACTTTTAAATGCAGACATCAGTTTCTCTGAGCTCGTTCTGGTTCCCTCCATATCTCTCTCCTCTCTCCTCACAGCCCCTCTGGGCGCCCACTGTGGCGTGTGGAGGGCTGCCAAGCTACCAGGCACCTCTGTGACACCCAGGGCAGTCTTTTGCACCTTTAGCTTCTCTCTCATACTCTCACACACAGTTAGTTGTCCTTTCACACACACACACTCTGCATGCAGTCCACTGAGGTGCATGCAGTTAGCTGCACTTTCACCGTCTCTCTCTCAAACACTGAGACACCCTTGATGCTGCCCTCTCCGCTTGGTGGAAATCTAAAGGCCACCTGGCTGAGGGCAGGGATTAGGCAAACACATCTCATACAGGAGGGCACAGTGGACATGGCCAAGAGGACAGCTGCTCTAACCTTTAGTGTCCTCACATGCTACCCAAGTGGCCGCGCTGCAAGCCATCAGATTTTTTTTTTAAACAATAGGACAAGATGCTCTGGTTTTGTAATATCTAATTTCTATCCCATATTATGCTGCCATTCTCCTTACAACAGCTGTAGGGCGTTTTTTTAGGTGGTCGGGTCGATGATGCTCTATGGTCAACAGTAACAAACAGGACCATGAGCAAAAAGGTTGATCATTTCTATGTAGTTATTCTCTAAATGCCTGTAGCCACTGCAATAGGTTAGGTTTCAGACGAGCGAGTGAAAGAAACAGCCCCCTTTTTTTATTTTCACAACATACTGTATATTCACATTGGCTGACACATGACTGTTAAAAGACAGCAGGATGAGATTCTGATGCTAGAAAACACTACCTACGCATGTGCAGGACAAAATACACGGAGAAAAGTTATATTACAAGCAGAATTGAGTCATGCTTCTTCTTCTGTCTTCCAAGACACCATCCAAAAGAACTTGATAATACCGCATATCCAAAGTTTCCTTTTACGCAATCAGAAATCACTTTAAGCAGGTTCAAACTCATCATTATTCTTTTTCTACTCTAAGCTGTTATTGTCTTTGTACTCCAGTGTGCAAAGTTTGAGATTATTATTTCACAACTAGGAGTTATATCATCTTACAACACGTTTTATTTCTCCTGGAGGTGTCGAGGACTACAAGTGGATACATGTCAGCCTGGAAGCAGAAATGTGTGTTGAGATGTGTTTTCTCCACAAATAAAAACTCCTAGTGTCATACTATAATGTTCTCCATGAAAACTTTCACTTCTACCCCAATTCAGTAAATCAGCATGCATATGTTGATAACAGTGCAAGTCATTTGTGCTGTCCTTGCATGCCCTTTAGGTGTGCATAATACTCCATGCTGCAGGACCAAAACAATCCAAACATAAAACATTCCAAGTAAATGAGATCTCAGTGTGTGATTAAAATATACCTTGGCATTCATGTCTCACACAGGTTTGCGTCTGTTTTTCTCCGCCTACCTGCCTGCATAAACACACGTGCACTCAGGGATCAGTGTGTGTGTGCATGAAAGTGTTCAAAGACTTAACAATCAAACCTAATTGTCATTGTGTGGCAGCCTCCTTTTATCCACTCAAGCGTGTGTGTGTGTATGTGTGTGTGGTTGTGTGCGTGCATGTGTTTGTTTGTTACATCATTGGCAAACAAAGCTCGTTACAGGAAGGCACCAAGCTGGCTGACTCTTAACAGAAAACATACAAGCAGACTGCATCCGAGCACAGTGGAGGAGCAGTTTCAACCGAAGTGAAATGAAATGTGTTTTAAATGTTAGAGAATCTGAAAACAAAACATGCTGTGTATTTCACAGTCAAAAAAAACCTTGAAAAAAGAATAAAATTTGTTAGTTGATGTGTTCCTATTTTGTTGCATCGCTGCTTACACTGAACATGTTTCGAAGGGTTAACATCTGATCTTCTTTGCTGAATTCAGCACTGAGTCACTGATGCAAACATTTGGAAGAAATTACAGCCTGAAGCCGTCTGAGCACATGACTGTTTTCCTTTTTTTTTTTATCTCACATGAAACCACATTCAAGCTAAAAGTCGTGCTGAAGGTCAGGCTGGATGGGAACAGCTAGGCCAATCTTTACATCATATCAACCTTGACCAACCTTTTCTCATAAAACGATCTTATTACACACATTTAATAAGCAGTGAACACACAAGGTTCAACCTTTTTACAGTTTGATGTGCCTCCACTATACGCACTCTCAGGCAACTTAAGCATAATGAGGTCATGCTCACATGCACACAATGTTACCAGTGAAGGATGAATTGCCATTGCAAATTAGCTGCCTATGAATGCAATTTGTGCAGGACAAGTCTACGGTTAACCACACAAAATAACACTGAATGCAGTAAAATCCAAGGGGGTTGGACACTTTTTAAAGGGACTCAATATTCTGAAGTTTTGAAACAACATGAAAGTCAGAATGTTGCTTTAACGTCTTAGTCGCTAGAGAGTAATTAAACCATTGGACTGCGTTTATTGGGCTAAATAGTTGACTGTAAAGTATTGAAGCTATAGAGAAAGCTTCAGTCAGAAACACTAGATTCTACATGCTGATTTCTGATTACTATTTTGCACACGCTCCCCCCCCCCTCACATGCTCACTCATATTTTCCTCTCGTCATCAGCTGTTGACCTGCTCATGACCAGGTCGCATCTTTCCACTGCTACACTCCCTCATCATTAGCCTCTCACATTGCTGCTGTCCTTTTTTAAATATGGATTTCTCTTCCCTCATGACATTCATGCCATCACTGCATGCGACCCAACACCTCATCACCATCGACACCCAGTCCGCACGGTTCCAATCGTTTCGTCATCTAATCAGCTTCAATTTCAACATCCCCAAACACCTCTACCACCAGCGTGTGGACTCCATGGGGGACTAGCTTTTGCAGTCTCTCCTGATTGAACTACTTCTATATCAGACTCACCCACAACCATGATGTTGAGCTCAAAGCCCTGCTTCATGGCCTTCCTCCTCATCTGTTCCAGGATGGCGTCGATGCCCACGTAGCTGAAGTCATTGCCGTGGCTCTTTTCCCCTTTAGCCTGTGGGATGGGGTGGTGGGGCTTGGCGGACTCAGACATGTTGGTGTGGCTCAGATTAACCTCAGACCCTGTAGAACAAAATACAAAGAAATATGATTATTTTATCCTACATGTCTTTGTGATGATTGGAAGTACATTTGGTTGTAAAAGTGTATGCACTCCAGAAGCAACTGCAGTGAACAAAACTGCACTTGGAAATCACAGAAACTGCTGATTTTAGCTACACTATTTCAGAGTGAATAAAGAAGATACTGATCTGAGCAGTTCATTTCCTGTGTGAAACAGGATACACCAGAGTTAAAATTCACATGCATGAGCATCCGCCTTGATAAGCGACAACACAAAAAAGGTGATAATCTGTCATTTACACTCCCTGCCTAAAACCCATCAGAGACGTATGTGCACACATGTGCAGATGTGCATGAACACATGAAAAAACAAGACAACGTTTCTACAACTGTTAGATAAAGAATTCTAGTTTTCCCAGTGGTCTTCACTCCAGAGCATACGAGAAACTGTGAACCTAACCAATAAATCTTGAAGGAGCAGACACACATCTGCTCCTCAAAGTTGCATAAAATCTAGACAAGCAACCATCTCATGTTTGCAGCAAAGCCTACAAGAGAAACTCTGACTCTTCTGAAATAAATGAGCCAAAGTGAAGCAGTGCAGCTGTGGATTAGAGTTGATTTTCCTAATAATAAAAGAATTAGGAAGAGAGACTGAATGAATAGATCTTGACATAGGGAACCGCTCTCAGCTACAAATCAGGGCTTACCTCACTTCGAGGAGGATCAGTTACTAGAAGAAGAAGCAGGAGGCTGTGTGCCAAGACACCGCTGTGTAACAGGCAAACTGAAAACACAACTCTGCCAAAGTATGTGCCTGCAGCAGCAGAGACTCACACCCCTCTTCATGAAGGAGGAGGAGACAACATTTCCTGTGCTGTGACACTAACTGAACACTAACTTGTGGTGATGTATGAGTGAGGTTTGCAGACACAGACAACAAAAACCACAGACACATACACCTGAGGCTTTAAGGGAGTCAGTCGTAGCCTTAATCCTTAACCCCTTTCTTTAATTTGTATGTAAACACAGTCAGCATTGATGCAGTAGTTCAGGTTCTGTTTTGGGTGCATCATTTCTAAAAAAAAAAAAACAGCATTTTTAAGCTTTCTGCATAAGAAAATGAAAGCCTTCATGCTTTTACCTTGCCTGTGTGATTTTCTCAAGACTGCACCTGCTAGTTACAAGAGTATAAATGAAGCACAAATCACAGGTCTACATTTTCTGATATCTAATCTGCATGCTCAGACTTCTGCCGGTCTGGGCCCTTTGATAAAGCGGAAGGTGGAAGATGGAGGTTCTGTAGACAGTGAGAGCTTGTAAAAGACTTGTGATCTTGCTTAGAGCATAAATTACCCACTTTTTACTGCACCTAAGCAGAGTAGACACATCTTTGACTGTGTGTGACTTTATCCTGGGAAACGAGTTGCTAATAACCACTGTGTGCAACCCTTGTAGCATCGTGGGAGCTCTTAATTTAAGGGCACGAGGACTTGTGTGAGGACTTTGCGAGTCTGGTGTCAAACTGGTGAACTGTGCTGTGATACTGCATGTAGCTTTGATAAAACACTTACTGAAAACCCTGGGAAAAAACATCTCCCGCTGTTTCTTAAGTCAGGAAATGATCAGGATTCAAGGCTTTGTTTTTGCACAATAATTTCCACAACCAAAGATCCAGTTTCCCTTTAGGCAAGAGATCATTTTATCAGCTAAAAAGCAACCCTGACATTCAGGAGCACAGATCAGTCCAAGCTGTAATATGAACCTTCTGTTGATACCTCATAATGTTAAGCATGAGCAGACTAAAGCTGCATCCTTGTCCTCAGGAAACCAGACACAGAAATGCAGTGGTCTTGGACGTGATAGAATAACCCTGATGTATTTGGAACAATCTATCTTCAGGCTTTTGATGTGTTTGCAAATGTTTGCATAGTGTCACAAATCAACTTCTGGCTAACCCCGTTGAGCTCAGTTGCATCAGGAGACTCCTGAGTGACAGAATACAGATCGGCTCTAATGACATACTCCAGGTCTGCAGCCAAACGGCGTCCTGGGCTCTGTGACTGTGCCAGCCACAGGCCATCTGCTTGCTTACTAGGCTGCTATCTAAGAATAGAAAAACAGTCACACTGTGGTAATGCAAACAAAAGGTAGAACTGTTAGAACCCTCCCCCTTTTTATTGATTACACACTGCAGGAACTATGAACCATTTTTAGTTCCTAGAACCACGTTTAGAGGAACCTTTTTAGCTCCCTCCTCAGAGATACTCTCCCAGCACCAAACAAAGTCCCCAATGGTTGTAGTTCTCAGGGAACTCCCTAGTGGATGGTTCCTCTTCAAACAGTCCCCAGATCTGTTTGGTCCCAAAAACACCTAAACAGGCATAGTAACAAGAAGTGGCAATTGTGAGACAAACGCAACAGAAAAGGGCAGAACAAATCAGCAGTGCAGGAACAGTCGAAATGTTCATAAGTCTGACAACCACCCTGTGATTCAAATTGTGCACTTTCATTTGCCAGGAAGAAGGATGAGCTTGCCATAAGCGATCTTTTTCCGAATATGTATTTATGCACCGGAGTGACAGTTTGGACGTTTCCACAACAACCTCTGAAGTGCGTCTTCATGAGTCACATCTGCTCTCCAGCATTATCATGTCCCACAACCAAAAGCGTCAACAACCTTTAGCCCTTGAGAGCTACGTTTCTGGATGAGTAACCTCATTACAAATGAACACAGACTTACAGTGTGACTCAGATCACGACTCAGTGGCCTCAGACGTTGAATCCAAATTATTCATCATGAACCAGACGGCTCTAACTGTTGCATCAAAATAGAGCAGAATCTCTGACACGTGGAATATGATTTCTCCGGAGAGGGTTTTTAATTTCCAGTCGAAGCAAAAAAAGCTGAACTATTCCAGGAGGGTGCACAGTTCCTTCATTTGAAAAGTCCTGCACTGGGTTGCACCAGCGTAAGTTAAAACGTAGAATAGTTTGAGTTTACACTCTACCTTAAATTAAGGTGTTGCAGCAGCTGAGACAGTTCGAACATAGCACACAGTGTTAATGTTTTAGAGGGTTATTTTGTCATCTGAAACAAACATAGGCTGAAGCTAGAAAAATGTTTTTAAGTTTCGTTGAAAATTGTAGATATTTAGCCTAATCAAGCTTGGTTAATTTGGCTATAAGAAAGTGAGCAGTGAGTACAAAGACAAATGTATCTTTAGACTAAGGTGATGTGAACCTTATAGTTTAAGTTTGAAGCCAATACCTACATGCTTCCCTTGGTCATATAGGTATCTTAATGGAGGCTGACCACTGTCTGCAGTGAGTAGACTACAGGTGGGCTGTGGAGGTTGGTTCTTGCACACCTTCTTCTGCAGGTGAGGGGATGGGTTGTGCAGCTGTATGAGGGATTGGTGGAAGGCCTTCTGCTGTTTGGGAAAGGGCTGCTTCTGCTGGTGGTTGGAGATTCGTCTGCTGTTCAACGTTCAACCCCACATGATATTCCAATTACTGAGGGGAGGGGGGGGGGGTCCTCTCCAACTATATCAAGCATCAGGGATGAGTGGGCTATGGCCCCATGTCTGGCTTACACCTCCCATTGCCGAATCTCGTGGAAAGTCCTCTAACACAACAGTTTGTAGTCGATAACTCGACTAGGCTACATTTGACATATCGCCCTTAGACACTAACGTTACAGGCTACTGTTGGAAGGAAGAGTAGACAACTTTCTAATAAGTTATTACTATATCAAAGTTGTTCATTGTGTGTTTGTAATATTCTTACAAGCTACTTATTTATAATGATATGTTGTCACTGTTGTTATATTACACTAGCTAATCATGATGCTTTTTCCTAATTTACTCACCTTTTCATTTCTCTTAAGAGTTTCTCCACAGTACCATAGCGACAGTAACGGAAGTCAACGGACGTTTGTCGGTTCGTTATTGTAGCAAGCGCTGCATTAAAAAAAAAATAGTTTTCACTGATTGGCTGCAGGAAGTGAAAACGTCATATCTGACAATGAAACAATGTTTTTTGCAAGTTTGGTGGTGTAGCCTATATTCTGCAAAAGAACTCAGAAAATGAAGGCTATAGGATTTTATTACAGTACTTTAGACAAACTAAGTTGATTGAGAAGATAAAATATGTTTTATTTATTATTTACAGAAAGTATCGGCCTACATTTTAGACATTTTGATCCACATGTATAGCTGGTGCAACAGGGCTGGAATGTGAGCTGCATTAAAAAAAAAACGTTTCCACTGATTGGCTGCAGGAAGTGAAAACGTCATCAACAATGTTTTGGGTATTTTTGGTTAAGGTGTGGGCTACCTTATTTCTCTGTGGTGAAACCAAACAATGACACAACTTAAATTATGAAGTATCTATTTTTATTTTTTCTGCCTCGAGACATTCAAAATAGGCACTTTAGGATTATCAGATCTGAGAGCTTTGTTTAATGAATGGAGATGAGTTCAGGCTTTTTTGTGCATGAATGGACAGATCCCATCAAAGAGACAATTCTAGTCCTTCATCTTCAAACAAGAGCACTTTGTGCACTTCAGTGGGGAATGTTGTAAAGTATGTCAGTGGCATTTTATACCTGAATATGACACAGTGCTATTGTTCATAGTTTGCATTGCAACAAAAAATTGTCTAGAAAAATACAACGTATTGGGGTCTGATCTGATTATCATACCTGTATATCAAAACTCTCCTTAAAATCAATGATGAACATACTGTTGTAGTTTTTTTTAGTCCACATTTCGATAGTGTATGGTTTCCTGTTTGTTATCCGAGGTTGTCACAGCAGACAAAACCACAACATTTACATCTGCACTGAAGACATTCTTAGCTTAAAGGGGTAAGCCTTCAATCTGACTCATGAATGTTAAATCTACTCATCACGAGGGCATCATTCAGCTTAAGTATTTTTTTTATTATGATGGGTTTTTTTTGTTCTGAAGGAACCCTGTTAAATCTGAGAGACTACT